CTCCCGCCAAGCTCCGCGGGCGCCCCCTGGCGGCGGGGTCCTGAGCGGCCGCGCGCGCTGAGTAGGGCACGTCGGGATTCCCCGACGCCCGCGCCCGCCCACCCCTGGCCACAGATACACTCACACCTGAGCGCCAGCCTAGAGGGCTCCGGCTTCTCTTTATTGTGCTTGGACACAACATCCACGCAGGATCTTCCACCCAGACCCTTGGCCGCACCAGGGCAGAGGGGTGGCGCGGTGGGCCAGGCCCAGGCCACCAAGTCCTTGTTAGAGGGCAGAGGCCAGGCGGTCTTCCGTTCTGGCTGGGGGCGGGCGGCTGGGGCCCTGCACCCCTACCTCCACCCCTACGGCCTTTCCAGCAGCGCGCGGACCACAGCGGCGATGTGGGGGAGGCCCCTACCCGGGGCCCCCTCCTCCTCCAGGACGTGGTGGGGCTGGCACAGGGACTCCTGGGGGGAGGGGCCAGGTTAGGTTCCCGCGCCCCGGGGGCCCTAGTGACACTGTGCCCATAGCCTGGGGTCAGTGAGACGCAGGAAAGCTGCCAGCGGGGAGCTGACAAGGGGGCCAGGGCTCAGGGGCCAGGGCTCAGGGGCCAGGAGAGGCTGCCATTTCCAAGGGGAAAGTACAGGAAGCAGGCGGGGTGATAGAGCCGGGGCCAACCACGAGCAGACACAAACACACAGAAGCGGCCACAGTCTGTACAGTTTATACACAGAGCTGGGGACCCAGCCTGGGCCCCCACATCCTCTACAAATATAGAGCTCTCTCTACAAAATAGAGATAATTTATCCCCCCATAGCAGCCAGTGGGGGAAGGGAGGAGAAAGAAGAGAAAGAGGGGCTCTTGCCGCCCCTGGGGATGGAGCAGCACTGAGCCGGAGCCACTGCAGGCCAGGGCTATAGGAGGGGACCAGAGGCAGGGTGGCCCAGGGCCTGGGGGCGCCAGAGTGGGGCCTCTGAGGTCAGTGTCTGTGAGGGATACACTAGTGTCTTTGGTAGGGGCTAAAGGCACCACTGGTAGGGGTGAGCAGGAATCATAAATAGAAGTGGGGAGGGGGGACTGGGCCCTAGGAACCCAGGAGCCGAGTGTAGATGACATAGAGCAGCAGCATGAGGCCCACGTAGAAGAAGACGAAGCCAACCAGACCAGAGGGGGGCCGGGCAGGTGGGGGGGCCTTGCCCCCCACCCACTTCGCAGCCTCTAGTGTGGTCCGAAGCCCCTGGGCGGTGCCCTGGAGGAGATCCGAGGGCGAGCACAGGTCAGCCTGGGAAGGAGGGCAGGGCAGTGGACAAGGACAGAGGACAGATGTCAGCAGCAGCAGCCACTCCTTCCCACCCGCACCCACACATGGCTGAGACCACAGCCACAGCAACAGGAAGCCGTGCGGGGCAGGGAGATGCGCAGGGCAGGACAAGGAGATGGGGACAGGGAGACATGCGGGGCAAGGAGACGTGCGGGGCAGGAGACGTGCGGGGCAAGGAGAC